TGAAGTAGGACAGCCTCGAGAAGTTAGAGATTTTATGTCAAATCAGCTAAGTTGGAATAGGAGTTGATCGACAATTGAGTGAGACGGGAGATCAGCTAGAACAGCGGTAGAAAGACTTGGCTTTGACTTCTGCTGCATGATGTTACCCTGATGTTGTAGCGACATGCACATTTCGGGGGAACAACCAACCGAACCACCCCAGTAATGGCTAAAGTGTCCCAAGCTTCACCTGAGTTTGGCTGAGCTGTCTCACGTCCAGAACGCCATTCCACGTGGTGGCTTAATCATGCGGGTTTAAGTAGTTGAGGGGGAATAACGCCTCCTCTGATGGTGTGCAATATTCAGACGAACTAACTTAGTACTGCAACACAATTCCCGGCAAGAATACTAGTGCACCCGTGAGGCAATATCGTATGACTTTACGCAACTATCCTTTTTATAGCACGGTAATGGGAATGGTACGGGTCTAACGACAACGATAGATTCTTGAGGCGTTTGTCTTTAAGCAACGGAAGACAAGACCTGGTTGTCATGCTGCATTTGAGGCATCGAGATGGCTTCAAGCTGAAGGATCATTGAATCATGGATGATGTGCTCGGACTTTCATTATATTCTTCCGTCCGGCCTTATTTGTGATGAACTGACAGCGAAAGTCTGACACTGGTCTAGATGACTCGTTCCAAGGATGTATCAACTGTTTTGAGCCCAACTTATACATCAGGCTGTAAGCCAGCTCGCCCTGCAAGGCTTAAGGATTCGTCTGGTATGTCGGACTAAACTGTTCCGTTCGATGAAGAGGAAGTGGTTTCAGGTTCTACGCCTTTGACATGATTAAGTTATGGCTTGTCTGACAGACTGTTGTTCCACGTGGGAATGCCTTGCGGCTACTGTCGGACAAGGTCGAGGCTGATGGTATTTTCGTATATTCTGCTAAAGACCAAAGTAACCAGAGGCCCTACCGGAGGTTTGCAGCCGCATACTTGATCTTGTTGCCCAGGGGGTGGCAAATCTGGATGATAGTTGTGATTCTCCGGAGCATTTTGTGTGCTTCCTCAACACAGCTCTTCGTAATGAGTAATCTCGCCCTCGAAGCAATTTCGACGATCGACAAAATTCCCAACGGGATTCTTATCTTGCTACAAGGCTTGTCAACTCCAGGCTCGCTTCCGACTGGAGATAGCCACGAAGCGCAATCTGGCCCCTGGTTCTAGTTCCGCACGGTCGTGAAGCTAGACGCAATAACCAACGAAGCTAAACCCGTAGGACGAGATGCTCCTCGCTTTTCACGCCGAAGATCATATATTTTTGGCCGATGTTGCCCTAGTTTCTAGGAGAACAACGGCGACCCGGGACGTTTGTGAAATATTCTATTGAATAGTATGGGCGCTTGCAAGACGGGCCGTCTGGATGATATCGACCTATTCTCTTGTGATGCTTCTAGTGTCGGAACTTTTGGGCTATGATTCATGAATGGTAGCGTAATTGAATAATTAAAGAATCTTCAAGACTACCAGCGGCAAGTCCCATGTATTACGGGCAAAACATATCCCTAAGCATACCAGCCCAAATCTGCGCCAAGGGTCTGCCTGTCTCGAAACAACAGACAAAGATTCATGACAATAGAGTTTAGGGGATCCGGGGACTCATGGTTCCGGGAACTATTGTCGATTCTGGAGAAAGCCAGGTTAACGTTCTCTCCTCACCTTACCCCTGTCTCTTGAACCAGGTCGTTGGGTCACTTGCAATGGCTTTCGAGTCACTGAGACAAGAAAATGTGATAGAAGCACAGAATTGCAACCCAAAAGCCAAAGCGGGATGTGAGCCATTCTTCCGCAAATTGTGGATCCCCAACAACTAGCTAAAGCGATTTTAGTTGTCGATCTCAGCCCTGTTCAAGTCCTGACTCGTGCACTAGATCCTACATAAGCAACTAACATCGCAATCTTATCCGGACGTACGGAAGTTTTATATACGACCAATGTTCAGTTCAGGATACGACTTTGCTGAAACTGAATCTGGAGACGAGAAAAAAGCAGATCGACATTTCATGGAGAAATGGAAATTACGGGGATGTTCCCCGGACTTGATGCATGTAAGTAAGTAATATCTCGTGGGCCGAAAAAAGCAATGAAAGGAAAAGCCTATCAACAGCCAAAATCCATAACATCTTCATCGTCCGGACTAGACGCTCCAAGGCCCTGTATTCTAGACGCGCCCCGGAATTTACTACAATTCTGACAAATTAGCTTACAGAAGCTTTTGTGGCTTTCTGCGGTCCAGTTTCAGCGGCCACTCAACGCCACTGGAGCCCTCGTGTCTAGCGCATCATCACTCATGGAACAAGACCTGGAGATAGGGAGTCAGTAGGGATTATGCCTGTTAATTGTACCAATGCACCGGATGCAAATTCCGCCACTGCAGATTCATCCAGTGACTAGCTTAGTGTGCCCAGTATCTGTATGTACGACTCGGATCACCGCCTTCCACCAGCTTTTCTGAGGCCCCAGGGTTCTTCCCTTGTACCCGGCAAGCCTAGACCAGCATTGGATGCACAACTAACTCCTGCTGAGAATTGAATCTTGTTCTAGTGGATATCATCAGGCTATAAACTACTGCGTCCCTCGCATACAGGTCATTTCTCATGTTGTGTTGTGTTTCATATCGACTTGTACAGTTGCCGTTATCTGGGGTAACTTGATTTCACCCTCTTCTTACGAACCAACCAACACCGGCGAGATAAAGTCATTCTCGATCTATTGCCACTATGGCGACCGAAAATGGCTTCCTCGTCCCTCCCAACTTCAAGGAGGAGCCTCCTTCTGACGACGACATGAATTTTGCTTCGATTATCTGGGGTTTATCCTTGGGCGTCACCATCTTCAACTGCGGAAAAGCCATGCGTCAAACTCAGGCAGCAATCAGAAGGCGAAATCGATTAACTCTCTATATCATGTTTATCTGGCTCGAGGTCTGCTCTAGCACAGTTCTTGGAATAATGGTCTGGTTGTATCTCCGTGGGATTATACATCCGAGCTTTCAATATTACTTCTTTATCAGTATGTCACTCCGACCTTTACACTCCTCATGTACTAATCTTTTAGTCGTCTTTTGGTCGATACAGGTTCAATGTCTGATTCAAATTATCATCAACCGAGTCAGTCTACTTATGGTTGTCCGTCGAAATGGAACTGTACTCAAGTGGACTTGCTTTGGCATCCTCTTGGCAATCAACATTAGCGTTTTCTGTGTTTGGATTCCAGCACGTCTTCAAATTAGTGAGAAGTACATACATGTCAACGAAATTTGGGACCGTATGGAAAAGGTCCTCTTCGCCATTATGGATGCAGCCCTCAACTTTTATTTCATTTGGGTTGTTAAGCAGCGTTTGGTGGCAAACGGTCTTCAAAAGTATACCCGTTTATACCACATGAATATGTTCCTCGTCGCAATCTCGATTGCCTTGGACGTAAGTCGCAGTTCTTCAAACTCGGATTTGCCAACTTATACTGACTTTGCTCAAGATCCTCCTCATTGGAATGATGTCTTTACCAAACAGCTTCGTCTACGTCCAGTTCCACCCTCTTGTTTATCTCTGCAAACTTCACATCGAGATGAACATGGCAGACCTTATTGGCAAGGTTGTCCGAGCCGGCAACAACCAAGTCGATGGAACACACGATTACAGCTCTCGCTCTCGAACGACTGTCAAAACTGGTACTCGACCTGCTGGAGCCGGTCGATTCGGAGGCGGTCTCACACGAACACATATCGAACTTGGCGAAGAAGATGAGATTGAACTCAAGCACCGCGAGAACCTCGAGGGAATTAAGAAGACTATTGTTACAGAGGTCATTCGATCACCAAACAGTGAAGATGACGAAATCATGGAACATCACGAGAGAGCAGTCAGCGAGGCGAGCTCTACGAACGCTCGTCATGAGCCTTATAGTATTGAACATGCGAAATAAGCGATTTAACCACTGGATACTGGGAACTTAACATATATATATATATAATTAGAGAGAGAGCTTCATCCTCTGTGTACCAACGATAGAATATAACGCAATTAATGGGACCTCGCAGATGCACCGTGAAAACTCTTCAAGACTAATGATGTACGACTTTCTTATGACAGCGAGAAAGCAGGGCCAGTCCCTGTTGAAGGATTTCAGCTGGCCCCGTCTATCTGCAGGTCCCTTTGAGGATCTCATGCAGTCCCCGCAAAGCCCTGACAAGGATGGATGGGCGAAGGGGATGCAACGCCACCAGATCAGGGGGTTTTCTGGGGTAACGAAGCCATTTTCCGCGTCTGGCGCCTGGAGCTGACATGTTCCCATTGTCCGATTGTGACTGTGCAAGGATTAGCTTGCATGGGGTTTGATACGAGTGCCAACTCGTCCTCATTTTTGAAACTGCACGACTCATACCCCATCTCTCAACGTTGTGCTACCAACAGCCTCACATGCCAAAGACTTGGTCTCTCTATTATAGATCTTTTTCTCGGTCCCGGGTTCCTGTTGCCTGGCTCTTTCCGGCAATAAGACTTCTTGGGAGAAACCGTTTCTAAGCCCATCGACTAGTACCGCGCTTGCGTATCTTAGTTCCGTTTGCGGACAATGGGATGAACGATCCTTCAAAGAGGTATGGTCACGACGCTATCCAGAGATGGCATTTACTAAGCAAGTTGGGATGATTAAAAGTTGGGGTAAGTTATTGATTGTAATAAGCAAATGCTTTGCAGTCCACAATCTCGGTCTTGTCACCGTTCCCCGGACTCAAAATGTGAGAGCTCAGACATGAGGCAGTGGCTTTCTTTAGCAGACGCCACCGTCGTTAATAACGCCCTGCAGGGTTCCAGAACTCAGAGCCTTCGATTCCTGCGGGTTGTTGGTCTCTTGTCACCCAATTCCTCTCGATACCCTGTCAAATAATAGTACATACATTGCTCGGCTTCTGTGATTCCATAGAGGCACCTTTATGCATCAGGTTTCCATGTCCACACATCAAATACATAAGTCACTTCACCTGTGATATCCTCCCGTGATTTGATAACCTACCTCCTCTGCATATTAGATATCAGGAGAAAATTTCAAAATTTTGAGATCACGCCGACTGCCTTGACCAAAACACTCAGAGTGACAAGATGAACTGCTCCAGGTTGATGACCCTGGCCTCAACTTCATCCAGATCCTTCCGATCAATACGCGCAAGTTCGATCTCTGCTCGTATCTCAGCAACTTGTTTCCCAATATCAACCAATGTCTTTCGATTTTTCGTGAACTGTCCAATCATCTCGGTGTGCATGTTTTGGATCCGCTTCATCATCTCGATGTGCATCTTACGCATTTCATCAGAAACGCCCCGTTTCGCTTCGGTTGTCGCACTGGTGACGAGATCCTTCAACTCGAGGAACTGCTTGCCTGAAAGTGCAGTCTGGGCAGAGTCGTTCTCAGCAGAAGATTCGTCACTAGCCAAGGATTCAACATCTGCTTCGTACACAGCGCCAGGGCTGGCGCATAGCTTTGGGATGTTGGACCTATAAGTAGATGCATCCACTGGCGCATTGTTGGACCTTGACTTCAGAAACTCGCTGTAAGAAGCACTGTGAGGTCCTCCAAGAACCATGCCTCGCATTTTCGACTCGACCTCCTTGAAACGTCGAGCGAGAGGCTTGTCAGGGTCAGCGGAGCGGAGCTGGTCCAGGCGAGGCTCGAACTTAGGGATTTCGGATACTGTATTAGCTAACAGGAAGTTAGTATACAAGAAACCAATGGCTGTGAGGGTATGTCTCACTGAGGGTGTAGTCCTCCTCTTTGAGGGAGAAGTCGCTAGGGTTGATCTTATCATCTTCCTCAAGCATTTTCTTCGCAAAGCAAGGAGTCACAACCTTGAGCTCGAGTTTCTTGGCGGTGTGCTCCTTGGGAGCAATGCTGGCAGCGTTGTGAACAGGACCGGTGAAGCCACTGAGATCTATACCTGGATACTTTTCCATGAGGGCAAGTCTGAGAGTTGGGAGTTTCTGATCAGGGTATATGCACCGGAGGATAACCCAGAGCCCAAACGTGATATCGTTTTTGTAGAGTTTGTGTTTGCTAGGGACCCTTCGATTTGTAGGGTTAGTTCGCACCTCAGGGAGGAGGCGATAGATATGCATTTTGTCTTGAGGGCTCCATCCTGAGGCGTACGTCTCCCAAGCCTGCTTGAGTCGCCTGAGACTTGCCTGGTCTTCAGGCTCTTGCGACAGCCAAAGCGAAGTCAAGTTTGGGAATTCCAAGTCAGTGACATTTTCGCCTGTGGAAGAGGAAACAGTCTCTTGAGTTCTCTGCTTCTCGACCTTGCGATAAAGTTAGTAGGAGCCCGTAGATGAGTGCGGCTGTATGTATCGTACCTGCTTGGTTGATTCCATTGTTGCCTGTGGACAACAGTTAGCTGAGAGGTCGAGGAAGTTACAACACTTCGGAAATTTTTGAGGCGACAAGTGTCCTGATCAAAACGTAAGATGATGGAGGAGAAGAAATCTTGAAAACCAGTCTCGTATTTCTTTGTTTTGCTGTTGCAGTGACGCGTCTGTGTTTGCTCTCTTGCCTCAAGTCAAGGTGCGCAGTGCTTGTCACTTGGCAAATGCTTTTCCACCAGAAATCAAATAGAAATGAATTTCTGATCACGCAGACTTGACAACCTAGCATTTAAGACTAAGGTAACCCTCCGACCTAGGTAGGCTTAACTTGTACCCTGGTATATGAACAACTATGGGATACTCGGTGTCTTCCTTGCGCCCTCAAGCTGGCCATGTAGCATCTCATCGCACCGTATCTCACTCGATTGCATATTCTACTCCTCTTCGGATCAAACAAAGTTGTCATGTGTCTGATGTGACTTAGCTACAAGAGCTGCTCTTGGTCATTCGTCATGGAATTGACCTACTTGAGTGTTATTGCCTAACATAAGGTAGTAACATCTGGTGTTCCCAGATGATAGGAAGCTTCTACGAACAGGATTCTCCTTCTCTGCGTATGTAATGAGATTAAAATTAGGTAAAGTAAAAAAGCAACCGCAATTCCCGCATCTTGAGATTTCTCTCCTTCTCCTCTCAACGCAAAACAAGGCCATCTCTTTATTATTCACAGGTCTATCTCAATTCTTTGGTATAAGCATTGTTCAATATGGCTCCAAGCAAAGAATCAAAAAAGCCTGAAAAGATTTATCTTGTAATGTCCGATGCAAAACAGCGCAAAGGGCGTGGGAAAGTAAGAAAGCCCTTGCCTGATGCGCCGCGCTCAAGTCAATACATTCGATTTGCAACTAGGTATCCAATCTAATCTCCGATAGAGCCTTCAGAGCCTCGACCAGCATCAACATCGTCATCCGGAATTACGGAAGTGGAAGGAAAGAAGAACATTGACTCTCCTTCTGCCACCGATTCGCCTCCGAGACGTTCCCCTCGCCTCACAAGGAGCCCAGAAGACGATCCTAGTCCTTCGGACTACGTACAAAATGATCAAACTAATGGACCTCAGAGACTCCCCCCCTGCACTACCAAGAGTCCGGAGGACGATCCTAAACCTTCTGATTCTGTCGAAAACAACCAGACTTTTGAACGTCGCGAACAAGCCCAGGCTCCACCCCGTACAAATCCGACCCTGCCCGGTCAGCCTTCAGCTCTACCTTTCCAAGCTGCTGCGATACCATTTACGCCTCCGACAATACCATTTCAGGCTATAGCGGTGCAATTTCAACCTCCGACTATACTCTATGGGATCCCGCCTGCGCCTCCATACCCAGCTGCGCCAAATCGGCATCTCAACCCAAGCGAAGTGTCTGCTGCTCAAAATAGCATATCACAGCTCCAGGACAATGAAAGATTGAAAGGTATGCTGGAGTCGTTCCAGGCTGCAGCTCGCTCTATCCAATGGAACGCTGAGCAACTAGATCGGATGATTGCTTCAGTATTAGGATCGTTACCTCAACCCGAGTAGAAGCTTGATTAGAAACCAGTGATAGGGAGCAACAGTTTTACTATACGAAATAGCTCATCTGTAGCTTAAAAAAGACTATCAATGGTGTAGTGACTCCCAGACTGCTGCTGCTGATGTGGGCAAAACATATTTGAAGCGTTCTGGGGTTGATGGGTGAAAGTTGCTAGATGAATATATTTATCTAAATATTTTAGTTTCCTCGAGCAACAGAGCTTCGCCTCATCCTTTTCTCACCAACGTGAAGGATTGGCTAGTCCAACACAGTTTTACAGCCGCAGTATTGTTTCTCTTCAACTTGTACTTGTTATCCCTATTTCGCTTTGGCTATCTCGTAAGCCCTTGAAGCTGCCCCGACGTAACCATTGTCTCTTTTGTAGTTGTGGAAACTCCATGACGCGTGAATACCGGACTACTAAAGAGGTTGCCTGGTGCTCGTGAAGGGCCAGCCAATACAGCTAGCCCACCCAGTAGCTAACTTGGCTAAATGACTCAAGCAAACGAAGGAAAAGAGATATGATCAATGTATGTAGTTCAGGGTCTTGTAATAAAGTACGACTACATGATCCAAAGTTTATGAGTATTTTGTCACATCATTATAAACCTCAAGGCTCAGGTTTAACTCATCCAATACGCAAGTATTACTCTTCGTTTTCCTTAGCCCTCGGAGCCTGGCTAGGCCACAACGGATAGACTATACTTTCACAGCCCTTCTTCTCTTGCAGTAACGTTTCTCCAAATCCCCAAGTCAACTCCAATTCAAACTTGCACCCCCATCACGGCAACCTTCTCCTAGCGTTCGGCCCGTCCACCGGTCAAGTCCGATTTTGACGATCTCGATACCCCCGAGACCTTCTAGAAACGGCCTACCCCCCAACTCAGAAAGGTTCTCTCACAAGCAAAAATAGCACATTCTGGGTTGAGGCGTAGAATGATCTGGCGGATATGACGTTTGGGGTAGAAAAAGATCGAAGATGTGTTACCCACTTGCCTTGTATGGAAGCGATTTGCTGCTCTGTGCATTATTGCCGGAGCTTAGTCCGGCGCTTTGCTGGGGGTCTTGGCTTGGCGTGGCCTTTTTTCTTCAAGGCTTGAAAATTTGTTAAACACCATCGTGAACGGATGAGGCCGTTGTCGGAGAGGGAGGTTCTCACTTTGACTCATTCAATTCACTAGCTTTGTATCGTGATCCTCATGCGCCAAAGATGCGCCAATATGGCTTCAACCTATCAATGTCATTTGTGCGGCCTGATCTGGTAATCCCTTATCACCCAAGTCTCGTTATCATTCCCCAGCATGGGAACTTATCTCTTGACCCCGGAATCCCCAGAGTTTGAGTCTCGGTAGAATGGTCAGAGATAAGGCTAATGCTCTTCAAATCCGGGCAGCCCTTCAATTGGGCCGTACACTTGCCTTATCTCTCTGGCTGCTGAATGCCCTACATACATGTCTTGCATATAGTTTATTTGGATGTGAGACCATTTCTGGGATACAAATGACAGGCAATGCATTGAACAGCGAGACAGAGGTTGGTCACATGATCGGAGTTCTGCTTCATGCGCCGTAGAGACAACTACATGCTTGTTTTCGTTTGAGCACCATCTAATCCAGAGCTTGTTGATAGACTCAGGAGGTCATTGGCATACACGAATGCAAGTGATTGAATTGATTCAGGACACCAGCAGCCATAAAACATGACATGTGGAATCTTGTTGGACGCCCAGAAAGATGTGGCTTTCGGAGAACAAACCAACGTTATTCCCGGACAGGCGATGTCCAAGTGCAAGAGATCAAGGGACCAGTGGCATCAGGACTGCATTGAAACCAGCAGATGTCCATTGAAGTGAATTCCCATTGCTAAACTGGCATCACGGCTAAGGTTAAGCACCCTCTGTAGCATTGTAAATGGAAAAGTCATATGTGTTCTCATATCATCTTGTCGGCTAAGCTAGACATTGAAATGTGAAGTGTTGTTATATGACAAGTCTGTTCGTGATGGCACGTTTCTCTTGAGTGTCCCAAAAAAACAGTCGATTGATGCACGGACGTGGCCGGTCGAAGATTTTAGGCACATGACGCACAGGCAACTGGCATCCAGAGAGGTCACTGTCGGCATAGAAACAACCCTGGGTGTACGTGTAATTGCAAGGATACGGTTCCAGGTACCGTAAGCACTGTGTGAGAACAGAGAGGCTTCAAGCTCGCCAGATGGCATGGCTGATGAGAAGGACAAGTGAGAGCACCTCGCAAGGCAGACAAGTTTCAGCCAACTGTCTCGAGGCGTGGGCATCACGGAGTTGTGTTCCGCACATTAAATCATTATCGGATACCGTACCGACAACCTGTAGCTATTTGCCGTCAACGGAGGGAGAGCTCAGACCAACGCGGAAAAGACAAAATTTTGGTAGGTGACGATCGATCTGGGTGTAAGTTCATGCAATTTGAGCCTCATTGACTGATAGGCGTCGATCGCTCACCGTTGCAGCATTTGGTTGTAACCGTGCTGAAGCCAAGCTCAAGCTTTATTGCAATTATCTCATCAAAACATTTGCCGTGGAGCCGAAGAGCCCAACTTATTATCATAGTTGATGCCAGATGGGTCTTTGTTGAAGGCTATTGCATGTTTGCGACTCTGCTAACTCAGACCGCTTCGACGTATTGGTTTCAGGAGTCGTGATGCTAGGTACGGAAGACTCCTTGCATTTTCGTTTGTCGGAATGAGACGCTTCACATCGGAACGCTGAGAGAACAAGACGGGCCGCTAGATCGCCGCGAAGTGGAATTGTCCTTGTCAAGGGAGTTCCGAATCCACCTGAAGTCTCAACTCGTCTTGTGATACTCCAGGCCCCATTGTAAAGGAGGATCCAATGGTATAATTATAGCGTAAATTTGCACCTTGTTCCAATGCGGCTCAAAACTGGCCCGCGCGTTTGTCTGTGCAAATGAAGGAAAATTTTCTAGAGGTGTGTAATTAATAAGACGGTCGTGCACGAAGCTTCCACCACGTAAATGTTTATTCCCAGCTGAATTCAAGGGTCGCCAAGAAACGATCTTGGACAGTTTTCCATGATGCGATGGTCCATCGAAAATGGTGCAAGTAATGGCGAATATTTCTGGTTAACCACGAAATTGTTTTCACCTGAAAAATGCTAGAAGCCAGCCATTGAGAAATGAGGACCAGCGGCAAATTCTAGAAGCTGAGGTCTGGAAGCACGTTGCGCTGGTTTGATCCGTGATTGCACCATCATGACGGCCCCCTTCCCGAGATGGCGACCTACCAAGGTCACTGACAGGGCTGAGGAGTGAACGCGCAAGGACTTCCCACGATGGGCACGGGCTGCGAATTGAATGTTGGCTTGTTGTTCAGGGGGGCTCCAACTTTTAGGTAATGGCTGAGGTACTGTATGGCTGGAGACTGATGCATGATCTTCAGGAACGGGCAATGCGTTATATGTTTGTACCCTGGCACAGAAGCGAAGCTCCTTGAATCGAATCAATTTTTAGTCAAGAGCCGCATCATCTGAGATGAGGCTCTCCTGCTTTCTGTCTCGGCCGGAGATTTTGGTGGTGTGCACAGTGGTACTTGGTGATCTCGTGTTAGACAAGAACGTGGCATGAAGACGAGTTAACGAATCAATAGTGACCTCTTGCGTAAGTGAGAGAGCTTGTGTGTGTGTGGGACTTCAACTTGTGGCGATTTACAGTACCAAAATTGATGCCAAGATGGTGTTGCTGCTCCACTTTCAACTACACGAGCTGATGAGGGCATCTAGAATCAATCCCTTGAGAGTTCCGTAAATATTCGATTTTGAAGGCGGGGAGCCTTTTGGCGCTCCCTCGGGGTAGGGAGTAGCCGCGGCTAACAAGCGGGCGTCGGAAGCTTTGTTATGCGTCTATGCATCAGATTCGGGAGTTGATGTTGAAGAATAGAGTTCAGCAAGTTGAGATAGGATCCCCTGAACTCGGTTTACACGGCAATTGCATTGTTGTGATTTCGTTTCGTTTCATTTCTGAGTTGACACGACATGACTACGATCTCGATTTCGAGTATTTCGATATTGACACAGTGGCTGACGCAAGTTACCTCAACATGATGAAGTCAATGTATATGCTCTCGATGTATCGAGATAGGTCCGTATAAACCATGTATCAGACCGAGCAACGTAGTTCAACCACGTGTATCGACCAAGACCAGTCACTGATGCTGATACAGTCGTCAATTATGGAACGTTTCTCACCGGGTAACGGTGACATCCAGGAAGGTGAATCCTACCCTGCAATGGTGAGAAAAGCTCATTTTCAGGAACTCTGATGATGGGTCAAAATTGCTTCACGATGCCACAATAGATGGTTTGTTTTGGGAGGGGGGTGTGATCTGATTCACCCTAAGGTACCAAGCCAATTGGGCGTCCTGGTGGACAAGATCCAAGGAAATCTGTTTCTGATGCTTGACTCATCTCCAATAAAAAGCTTGGTCTCTTTTCCAGATCGAAGTTTTGTATCAAGAAACAACAGCCCAAGTTGGCTTAGTTTTGGGGACAAGGAGCAGATGGTCAGTTCTCTCAGAGATTTTCCCAGGATCCTAGGGTGTTGATGACACCGTTAAACCTGGAACTTCTTGGAAGGTGAACGGAAGGAATTTGCTTGATGGAAAGAATCCACAACAAGGTACGTATCCGTCACGTATAAGCTTTTCATTGGTCAACTTCCAGCCGCGGTCGCCTCTTGGCTTCTCTCACCTTAACATACGGTCAGTGACGTCCACTTGACTGTAAGAAAAAATCTTCATCTTGTGGAGACGTTTCCCCACTGTGTCTCTGCCGTTTTTTTGCAGTAGGAATAGCCCTTCAAGGGATGGCCCACACGGTGTGCATTGAAACTTCATGATATAATAACTGTAGCGTCCAATACGTAAATCTTTGATCAGAGACAGCCGCATACCGTTTTTTACTCAATGGATCGGACTTATTGTGGAACCAGCTCAGAAGAACTCGAACTCTTCTCCAAAATGTTCTCTTTTTCTCTCCTCTAGGCCTGGCTTTGTTCAGTGGGACCGGGACCGGAGATGGAAATCATCACACCTTACTTTACCTGTAACTAACGAGAGTGACAACACGAGGTTAGTGACTTTCATGGTTAATTGATGATGTCCACATGATTCATAATGCAAAAGTGAATGCAATTCTTTACCCCAATGCAGCTCCAATTTCATAGCCTACCGTTCAAGCATCTCCGAATTGCTCAGCCACGGAGGTAGAGTTTGATCAGATAAGCCATCATAAATTATTGCTACTGTACCGACTTCATCTACCGGTAGTTGCGAAGCTTAAACTGAGACGACTGAGGCTTGATCCCGTGCTGATCTCACTGAACTCTCAGGCATAAGTTAAGTAGGCAATGCATTCTCGTATGTTAATTTGCCCATTGCCGCTCGTTTCCGTTGGCCGACACTCGGAGTTGGCCCTACCAGGCCTCTCAGCCTATAATTGCCCTTTCTGGGCAACACAACTCACAGGGATTGGATGATGTGTTTCGTTAGGTTCGTTCTCTTCTCTTCTCTCTCTGGTAGCAGTGTCACCCACAGGGGTTCTTACTTGTAAAACAGCACCTGATGTTCCTCTCGACAGGGTATTCGAGCGCATACACCGCTTATAATAAAAGCTTCAGAGGATGTAATGTTTGCTGAAGTTGGCATCCACTTGAAATGTCCGAAGAGGGAATCAAAACATTAATTTTGGAGTAGGAAAAATTATCCGTTCCTGTTCCCGTCGGGTTGTATGACTCTATGGCGTACAATTTCCCCGAAGGCTCTCCGGAGAAGTCTAGCGCTGGAACTGGAAATTTACAGCGCTACGGTCCACTAACCGTCCTTCGACAATCCTTCCATCAGCGCTGTTGCTTAGCTGCACGTGGCCATGGTGCACTGTGCCTGCCACTCCCGAAGTTGGTAAATTCCCAGATTTCCGAGGATAGACCTCAACACCGAGGAAAGCACATCATCACGAAATAGCATCGACGAATTCCATCGTATTGATTGATATGCGGCAATGGCATAGTTTGGCATTGATAATCAACAAATTGCTTATCTGGGAAATAGCATCTGACGAGACGTATGCAGCCCAAGACAGGCTGGTGATGTGCTCTGCCGCGTCATGTGCCGCTGTATCGAATCATATTTTGCTGGGCTGATGCTGATTTCTGATGTTGCGGCTGGTTTTCTCGATCCTTTCCGTCAGTTGTTCCCGAGGAAAACTAACACTGACACTACCTAGGTTAGTGACATCAAGTCAACAGAGGGTCCCCCCTTGATCAACCCTGTGCGCCCTGTGGCTTACCGGGCCGGTCTTCGGCCTGCTACGCCGATTCTCACTGAGAACTCATGAGGCTAGTGTGCGTCTAGAAAAAAACAGACTCACTCGGAGACATGGCCCGTCTGATCTTCAGTGCACAGTAAAGAGCCTGCGGGTGCTTTGCCGAGACAGATCGGAGGAGGACATGCATGGGCAGAAGGAAACAATGGCTGGGTTGCTGCATGAAGTTACACTTCGTTCAACTAACACAGTTCACTAGGGCATACAGCAACACAGCACAGCAGAATTCCATTCCAGGACTCATCTGAAGAGATTTTTTGTAGCAAATTGTTCCTTTCAACTTTTCAGCGGCCACAACCGGTCAGCGTCGGTACGTGTCTTTGCAAAAGGACTCCATCGTCGTTTACTTGGTCTATTCCACCCATGGGGGAATAAACCTGGTCCAACGATCCACGATCGAACTTCGCAAGATCCAACATGTTCTTATTGACCCACTATGTCCTACGTTGCGCGACACTGTGTTGTATGTCCCTGATGGGCATCAGATCAGAAACGTTGGAGCATGCCAAGAGAGCATTAGCCTGGTGCGTACCGTTCGTGGAAC